ACACATCTTTTTTGTCCTGCTTATTCAGCAGCAAAAAGTGGAATCATTGCATTCACTAAAGCAATGAAGGTTTGTCTCTTTTTTAAACAAAAAAAGATACAACTTTTTCATTTCCATTTTAGAATAATTTAGAGCTCAGGGGTATTAAAATTAGAATAAACTCCATTTGTCCTGCTGGTGTTGAAACTCCATTGGTTTTAGAAGCAGCAAAATTGTTTTATTCAATGCCTCAGCCAATAATAGATGCGGTTACAGCATCAAGCTCTACCGAAGTAATGAAGTTAGTACATCTTTGTTAGACTGTAAACATGACTGGCATTGTTTATAGGCCTGAGTTCATTGCTGAAGGTATAATGGAGCTAATTACTGATGCTAGTAAAAATGGTGCAATTCTTATGGTAGAGCCAGACAAAGGATTCACATATGTGGAGGAATAAGAAGAAGAACACTGAACAGAAATGAATTGCAAATTCTATTTTAGCTAGTCTAATATAAGATTAAGATTTTCTTTGCATTAGATACTTTCTTTTCACACCACAAAAGGTCAATCGTGCTTGAAGTATAATGGCAAAATTATTATTTTTATTGTAAAAAGGAAAGTCTTTGTATTAATGTTAATTGCAAGCTACTCCCATAAAAGGGAGTGTTTAAAGATTGGAGTAGACACCTCTCCTGAGGCTTCTGATGTTGTCAGGTCGTGTTGCTCTTGTTACAACTTACAGGAGCTGCTGGCGGTATTGGACTAGCTACCAGCCGCCTCCTTCTTCAATCAGGAGCAAAGGTATTCAACAGGGACACGGATTAATGTTAATTCATGCATATAATACAGGTTGGTGCTGTTGATAAATCTTCTGGTCTGAAATCAATTTGTAATGCTTTGGGAGAAGAATTTGGCACAAGTAACATAGCCTGCCTCCCTTGTGATGTATCTGATGATGATGCTTTGGTAACGTGTAGATAAAGTAGTCTAATGTGAGATTGTCACTTTTAGAAAAATGTTTTTAAAGAGACAAGTCGGCAGTTTGGCTCACTAGATATAGTAATAAATAATGCAGGAATAGCTGATGAGAGGTATTGGAAGAAGCAAATAAAAGTTAATCTGGTAAGTATTGCTTTTTATATGATTTTTTCATTATTGTCTGGTTGTTGAAACTTAAATAGCAATCCGTCATCAATGGAACATATTATGCAATGGAGCTAATGTCACCTGATAAAGGAGGAGTGATAGTTAATGTATCATCAATGGCTGGTTAGTTAAGCTGAGACATGATAAAGGTATTTTGATGTCCTTCATTGCATCCTGTGATGATAGGCTTACACCCAGTGAGTACTGGCCCTGTATATTCAGCAGTGAAGCATGGAGTTGTTGCTTTTACTAGAGCAATGAAAGTCAGTCTGAATGATCTTCAGTATTGTGTTATTTTAATTTCATTTATAGGAAAATGTAGCAGAAAAGGGCATTCGTATCAATTGCATTTGCCCTTACTTTGTAGACACTACAATGGGTAGAGCTGGTTTAAAGGCCCTACCTGAAGCAGAAGCAAACGAAGTGCTTAAAAATGGAATATTAAAGTTAGAGTAGCATAGCCTGATTCCTGATTCTTGTGAACCGTGTTGTCTTTGTAGACCTGAGTTCATTGCTAAAGGTATAATGGATCTAATAACTGATACTAGTAGAAATGGTGCTATCCTCAGAGCTAACCCGTGGCAAGGACTTATGTATCAGAGATACAAGGAAGACATGAAATCAAAACTTTAATTATTAATTTTTATTAATTTTTAAATGAAAATTGTTGTTATTGTAACAATTAGATTTAATGAGGTGTGACTATCAGTCTGTCATCATAGATAAAGGTGCATGAGGTAAAGCAGAAGTCTAAAGTACGGTAAAAGCTCTAGCAAGTTTGCAATGTTGTCAGAACAAAGTGCTGTAGTGACTGGAGGTGCCCAAGGCATTGGATTAGCCACTAGCCGTCTTTTGCTTCAATCAGGGGCAAAGGTAAGTGACAATCAAGTGTTTCAATATACCTAGATTTATACAATTTATATTTCTTGTTTTTTCAAGGTGGCAATATTTGATCTGTCTAAAGACAAGTTATCCACTACTTGTGATGAATTGAAAAGAGAGTTTGGAACTGATCGGGTTCTCTCTTTTCACTGTGATGTCACTGACGAAGAGCAAGTTGTAAGAGACAAAATCCTTTTAATAGCACAACTTAACAATCCATGAAAAAAGCGAAAACTTGAGGCTACAAAATAAACGTAATCTGTATTACAGGTAAAGGGATTTGCTCTAACTAAAGAAACCTTTGGATCAGTGGATATACTAGTAAATAATGCTGGCATAACCAGCCCAAAGGAATGGAAGAAAACCCTTCTTATTAACCTAGTGAGTGGATCTTTGTATGAAGGTTATAATAATGTGACTTCATTTAAAGCATGCTCCTATGTTTGCTTCTTATACTGCTATGGAGTACATGAAAGGATCCAGCAAGGCAGTGATTGTTAATGTTGCTTCAATGGCAGGTAGATATATATAGTTTATATTATTATGGTTAGTGTTTGAAATCTTATTATTATCATAGGCTTTTGTGCCATACCTGGTAATGAGTCATATTCTGCTTCTAAGTCTGGTCTGATTGCCTTCACACGATCAATGGCTCAGGTATTGTACTATATAGTATGGCAAGGAGAGAATGTGTCATTATTTATTAAGAAATTCAGATGCATGTACTTATGCTGTGTAACAAGTTTGAGGTGATTCAGACTTCAATTTTTAAAGTTACGGCCATTTTAAGAAAACATCAAAATTCTGAAAAATACCCAAGGCTATAGCCCAAGCCCATGGTTTTTTCCAAAAAATAGGTAAAAAAATTACCCCAAATTTTATTACATTTTCTGATACATATTGACGTCCTTATGCTGTGTAGCAAGTTTGAAGTGATTCCGACTTCAATTTTTAAAGTTATGGCTATTTTAAGAAAACGTCAAAATTCTAAAAAATACCCAAGGCTATAGCCCATGGTTTTTTCCAAAAAATGGATAAAAAATTACTCCAAATTTTTATTACATTTTCTGATACATATTGACGTCCTTATGCTGTGTAGCAAGTTTGAGCTGATTCCGACTTCAATTTTTCAAGTTATGGCTATTTTAAGAAAACGTCAAAATTCTGATAAATACCCAAGGCCGTTTTTTCCAAAAAATGGGTAAAAAAATTACCCTAAATTTTATTACATTTTCTGATACATATTGATGTCCTTATGCTGTGTAGCAAGTTTGAAGTGATTCCAACTTCAATTTTTCAAGTTATGGCTATTTTAAGAAAACGTCAAAATTCTAAAAAATACCCAAGGCTATAGCCCATGGTTTTTTCCAAAAAATGGGTAAAAAATTACTCCAAATTTTTATTACATTTTCTGATACATATTGACGTCCTTATGCTGTGTAGCAAGTTTGAGCTGATTCCGACTTCAATTTTTCAAGTTACGGCCATTTTAAGAAAACCTCAAAATTCTGAAAATTACCCAAGGCTATAGCCCATGGTTTTTTCCAAAAAATGGATAAAAAATTACCCCAAATTTTTATTACATTTTCTGATACATATTGACGTCCTTATGCTGTATAGAAAGTTTGAGCTGATTCCGACTTCAATTTTTCAAGTTACGGCTATTTTAAGAAAACATCAAATTTCTGAAAAATACCCAAGCCTATAATAGCCCATGGTTTTTTCCAAAAAATGGGTAAAAAATCACCCCAAATTTTTATTACATTTTCTGATACATATTGATGTACTTATGCTGTGTAGCAAGTTTGAGGTGATTCCGACTTCAATTTTTCAAGTTATGGCTATTTTAAGAAAACGGCAAAATTCTGAAAATTACCCAAGGCTATAGCCCATGGTTTTTTCCAAAAAATGGCTCCAAAATCAACCCAAATTTTTATTACATTTTCTGATACATAATGATGTCCTTATGCTGTGTAGCAAGTTTGAGGTGATTCCAACAAATATATTTTTAGTTATGAGCATTTTATTATTTTATATTAGTCAACTGAGGGAATTCGGTTTAACTGCATATGTCCATCCTACACTGATACTCCACTTCTTGGTGAACCGGGCAAAGAGCTTGATTCAACTCTATCATTTATAATTGAGAAGCAAGGAGGACTCCTCAAGTATATAATGCTTCGTTGATTGCAGATATTTATAATTATTTTAGGCCAGAGCAAGTTAGCGAAGGGATCGTCAGGTTGATTACTGATGCTAGTCTAAATGGGCAGGTGTTAAAGTTGACTCCAAGGAAAGGGTTCCATTTTGAGAAGTACGACAGTTTTATGGAGTCTCTTGAAAAGTTATAATTAACTAATCCGCTCAAGTGACAGTTACATGAAATCTATTTGTATTGTTCTGTATTTATAATGCCACAATTTGCCTTGTTTTGTAGTGAATTTTTGCTCTTAATTTTAAAGTATTTTTAATAATCCGAGTGGGAGGCTGGGTGCGGTCATTTAGGAGGTGTGGCTGATTGATAAAAACATGGCGAAAAATCGTCTTTGTAAATTGTCATGTGATCTTATATTGTTTTAATATTCATTACGTGATAGTTTCGGACTAGAACTTTTACTGGACGCCATTTATACAGTCTTGGAGAGTAAGAGAGACCCGTAGCCAAGGGAAAGTTATGGTAAGGAACTAAATTCCTCACAATCCACTGTCACTTCTTCTCTACATTAGGCTACTGTGGCAACAGAGTCAATTAAGAGGGTCAATTTCCAATCAAATAGACAAGTGCACACAGACATCAGTTCCTCCTCTTTTCCTCGTCCTTCCACTCACGAGAACAGCATTGAGAATGTGGTTGAAGATTACACTGACAATGTGACCCTCTATCCATTGAAGCGACTCATTCAAGAGCTAACGGCACAAGAGAAGCAGCTGTGGGATAGAACAATGGGCATACACCTTCCTGTTGAGGGTAGGCAGTGGCTTTATGTCGAGTTAGTTTTATTATTTTCCTTCTCTCCTCCAGAAGGTACTTCTCAGTTATGTCCGGACGAGGAGTTATTATCAGTGGGTGGGGTCAGCATGTTTGGTCACGGCAGTCAAGCTGGCATTGTCGAGCCGTCAATGACGTATTTGATCAGGTGACTGTCACATGATACCCTCGGTACTTGTAATATTGTTGATTGTTTTAGATATGGACAGCTAACATCAAATATTCATCGATACTTCAGGAAATTAGAGTAAGAGGGAGGGAGGGAGAGAGAGGGGGAGGGGGGAGAGAGAGAGAGAGAGAGAGCAAAAATAAGAGAGAGTGAGTGATAGTGTATGTATACATAGCACTATTACTACTATTACTATTACTATTGATAAAACAATGAGTTGTGTAGTATTGTTAATGAATACTGCATATTTGTATCACTGTGTATATATATATATATTGGAAAATTTACACTTTATTTCACTTATTCCACAATTTTTTGCTCAAAAATTGAAATGGTGAGATTTTCCAACTATCAGGTTTACAGCTATAAGTTGCTAATCGGGAATTATTTATTTGAAAAATAACTTTCTGTAAACCTCACTGTGTTCACAATGTTATGCTGTTAGGAAGGAACATGCTTGTCTTCATCTCAGTGGACGGAGAGCTAATTTTGAAAACTTAAGAGTGAGCAGAAAAGAGAGAGAGAATTATTTATATTTATTTTTTATTATAATTAGCTTCCTCATGGTCGTGCTAGCTCCCGTGGCACTCCTGTACCACAAAATGATGGTAATAGTCTCAGAGAGAGAGAGAGAAGTGAGTTTTTTTGATATTATTTTTTTGTTTAGATGATGCTCCAGTTAACCACAGCAGGAGAAAGGTTCATAGCTTAAAAGATGAAGTACGTACAGCATGTACATCCCAGTACTCTCTAGTATATTATAGTATATTATCAGTATATTTCAGTATATTCCTTTTGTATATTCCAGGAGCTGGTCGTGTACAGATGTGCTATAATGTGTGCTCAGTTTCCGATGCTGAGTGCTCCTGGTCCTCCTGATGATCGATCTCCTTCTCCTCCTCTCCCTCCTCCTCTACTCTCTCACACTGCCCCATCAGAAGTTAGCCATCTTTATATTGTACTTATATATGTAACTGCTACGTAACTATACTAATATGTACATTTACATGTAACTGCTGTCAAACTATACTAAGTTACTAATATAATATGTACATGTTTTTATAGAGTTCTATTGGTTTGGGAACTCTGATCAAACCAAAACCGGTCAGACTAGTTTCCCAGCCCTCAGGGAGCGGTGCCAGCGTTGACAGTAAAACCACTGACCCTCCATCTGATTCAAGCAGTAGGCCGGACTCTAATCCTTACCTCCAAGAGGCGGAGCCTATTGCCACGGCAACGAACAAACCAAACGGACCTTGTTCCTTTGAATCTCCTCGGTCCTTTATCCCCATCAGTGGGAGAAAAGGGACCCTCCCCAATCACCGAGTTAAACCCAGGAGACGATCATACTCCTTCAGTGATAGTGAAGATGAAAACGATGAGCTGAACGATGGGGCATTAAATAGAGATAGTATATCTGCGTATTGTGATCCTCTGGGACAGAGGGACCACCCCTTCCCTCCGATGGTTAACAGGGACATGCTCTGCTCTCTCGTGAGGAGAGCCTTCAATCAAACGGAGGAACAGCAAGTTCAGTACGAGCAGATACTGAGACACGAATACTCAAGGAAGAGCAAAGGAGAGGTGAGAGAGAAATAGAATTGATGTTTGTAGTTTTTTTACTGCCAGCTGTGTGTGTTTACTGTTAAACGTTATTATATTATTAGTTTATTATACTTACATGTATTTGTATAGATATTAGCCCGTGAGTTGGTTACACAGCTGCAGGTGCTCGAGAAGAACGCTCATCCTTTCTACAGGCCAAGGAACTTTGTGGTAAGGCAGAAGGGAAGAGATTAAATTATTATTTTCATTTTAAGACACGTAATGGGTATGATATATGGCTCCAAGGGGAGAAGCAGAGGATCAAGCAGCAGCTGGACAAGTTCTGGCACTTTAACCTGCCATCAATGTCTCAGGAGCCAAGACCTGACTATCACAAGGCTTATGCAACTCTACTGGAGAAAATAATATGGTGAGTATTCTTTATTATTTATTTACTTATTTATTTATTTGTTTGTTTGTTTGTTTGTTTGTTTAGTTGTGAAAGCAGGACGTCACGTCGTGAGCCAGTTCATGGCGGTAGGACTCCTTCATCACAGCTTTCAGACACTGCACAAAGACTGCTGACTGAGTTTGGACTGAGATATGGAATTGTAATCTCCTCTACATCTCTCCCTCTTCCTTTATATTATCTTTTCTCTTTTAGGGTGAACTGTATCAAAGGATTGTGTATCTTGATTATTTAGCAAAGTAAATATATTATTATCAATAATTATTAGCAACCATTTGGTTGACAAGTCAACCTTGTAGTAATGAGTGATATTCCATTCCCATGTTTCCATACTTTCATTCCAGACACTTTGATTACGAGATATGGTACATTTCGCACTGCACTGATGAGCTGAGGGCAATACGTAACCTCATACCCAGGAACAGGACTAAAATGACAGCAACTAGGAGAGAGGTGTGGTCACCACACCCACCAATTAATAGAAATTAATTATCATCATATAGATGGAGCTGTTACGGGGTATAGTCCATCACTTACATGGTCAGACGGATAACTCACTCACTAGAATTGATAGACTCTTCCTCGAGTCTGAACCACAAATTGGAGTGGGTGGGTACCTCATTAATTAAACACGGACCATGCCCATTAATTAATTATTGACCACACCCATTAGACTATTAATTTATTATTGACTCCGCCCATTAATTTTATTGTAGCTGCTCTCATAAATTTGTTGAAAGAAGTTTTAGAAGCCGAACAGTCTCTCTCCTTGTTTGGCGGACAGAGAATAAGACCAATTGAAGACTGGCTCAAGAAATATTTAAAAGTATTTAGATGCCATTTTGTACATGTTTCCTATTACATGTTTTTTTCTCTTTTTATAGGACGGTTTTGTGTTGAGGTACGAGAGAAGAAAAGAAATAATTTCAGACGAGATTTTGTCGGCAAGGAATTTGACTGGTTTCCCCCTCACGCCCATTCTTGTACGTGTTACTAAAAATAGCCTGTAGCATGTGACATGTTACTATAAATAGATCAATGCTCTATTGCAAGAGATAAAAGACGAAGTCAAATATTACAGGGACAATTATCAGAATGTCTTTAGACCGTAAGTAATGGCCTCCTAGTGTCTCTTGATTCATTTCTTCTCTAGTTATTTTAATATTGTCCCGTATGCTAAAATGGAGTTTTATAGATTAACCTGCGCTGATGCTTGTCAACTCTGTGGTAGATTAGTACATGATCCTGTGAGTGTATCATATAATGTATACGTGTATGTTATGTCTGCATGTGTACGTGTACATCTACGTTTATATGTTCTTATGTTGTGTTCCAAGTTTGAGCTGATTTTGATTGAAATTGGATTTTTTTACGAATTTTTTAAGTTGCTCCAAAAATCCGGCCAAAGTCCCTGTACTATATAGTACAGGGTATTTTGACAAAATGGCTAGGGTAGAAGCCCCCATATTTATAGATTGCTGTGTGTTCATTATCACATAGTTTTTATTATTGATTCATGTACATGTATAGATCTCAAGACAGAGACTCAATCTAGAGATGCTTGGTCTCTTATATCGGCTGGACAAATGTGACAACGAATGGTCCAATGACATACCCACAGAGTAAGACACTATCCCCAAAACCTGTTTTCATAACCTGTTTATACGACCATGCAGTATGCAACAGTGGAGGAACGACTTTGTTCACCTTGCTTTGATCTGGATGGATGTGTTTACCAAACAGGTTAAGACGTGGGTGCTATCTGCCATCAAAGAGGACCAGGTAGAAAAAACTAAAAATTACAGTAAATAATTTTTCTTTCTCTCCCCCTCTCTCTCTCATCCAGTGGACTGTACTGACATTTGCTGCCATTCCTACTTACTCCTCCTCCCCTAGTCTACCTTCAGTTGATGATCATGGGGCCCTTCTTCCTCATCATCATCATCCCACTCATTATAGTGTCAGTCCGTTTTCTTCTATCATCTCTCCCTCCATTATGTTGCAGACTCCACTCACTCCTCATTCCCAAAGTGCCTTCACTGCTGTACAGCCTCTTAAGAGCTACAGAGAAGTACTCTCACCAATGGTAAGGAGAAGAGAGAGAGATATAGTATATAGTACTTATTTGTATTTTCCTTCTCCCTCCCTCTCTCTCTCTTTTACAGTCAGAGGTCAGTGGGGCAGTCTCTGATCTCACTTCATCCCATTCTTCATTTGAAAACATCTCCATTGAAATAATCCAACAACAGCAGCAGCAGCAACAAGGCAGAGAACAAAATGGTGTTGCATCAAAAACACCAAAAAAGAAAGGAAAATCTAGCAGCAGTCAAAACCAGTCTTATCTAAAATTCGGAAAAGCCGTTCCTCACTCAGGAGGAGACTCCACCAGTAGTTCCTCTGACACTCCTAAACTGACCAATCACATTACAGCTTGGGAGGACCAGGAGAGAGGGGATGTCCCCCCGTTGGTTCCTCCTGAGAGAGATGAAGATAACCTTACACCCCATGTGTCACCAGTGACTGTCAATAACAATGGAGACATTAGTACCACAGAAGAAGAAGAGGAGGAGGAGGAAGTGAAGATTAAACCATTTACTGGTCTAGTTCCGAGCACCAGTGACCCTCATATCACCGCTGCTGATCCACGTGTTGTTGAGAATGGATTCAATTCATCCGAATCAGAGACTCCGCCCCTTTCCTCACTTTATAGACGATCTATATCATACAACCCTCAAGGTCATTGGGCTGGTAGAGGAGGAGGAGGAGGAGGAGGAGGGGGAGAGGTGAAGAAAGAGACAAAGCTCAAGTCAAAGTCGTTTGACACGATTCCAAAACCGGTTAATAAACTCCCAAGTCACCCTCCTCCTATATCAGTCCTACATGTAAATCATAAGATGACCGAACCAACCAGATCACTACCACCTGCTAGTGGAGTAGCTCCAACAAACAGCGCTACTTCAGTCAGTACTGATCAGTCTCAATCTCCTTCTCTTAATGGACCCTCTCCCTCTCTCTCCACCACAAGTGCTGTCTTTTACACCTTCCCTGTGTCAAATGCTCCCATTGACCTATTCACGATATTCATTAGACTCGGCTCCTTTATCGGTAACCTAATGGAGGTCCTAACTCCAAAGGTACGCCAGGGTCTTAAGATGGGTCTCAATGAGACTGCTGAACTACCGAGTGAAGTGAATCAGATCCGAAGGTTTTTAACTGATATCAGGCAGCAGTCGGAGAACATGAGGGTAGAATTCCTTAAGAAGATACACAAGGTTTGTTCACCTCAGTATATCTCTGTATATTCTTGTATATTACAGATAATGGTTAGTAATTTGAAACTTTACGCTGATAATTTATTGTGCATGGATCTCTGCTACTTACCTCAAGGGGAAGCGAAAAATCTGTTCGGAGAGGAAGTGGGTGTGGTCAATTAATTAATTAATTAATATTACATGATATCCAATAGATGATTCATCATTTGCAAAGACGTAACGAGACTGAAGAGATTTGGGGTTGTCGCCATATTGTTGAAGCTAATCATGGTAACTATGCACATGTACAACAGTTATTAACACAATAATTATTGATGTGATGATTTCAAATGAATTACACGTGACACTCCCATCATGTTTTTATTGTATCTCTCTCTCCTTTTAGGGCTTCATCCTAATGGCCTTCCTTGCATTAAAAAAACTCAACCATTCTTTGATAGTATCACACGAGATGTGAGTGAACTACATAATCAAATAGTATGACCTAATCTCTCTCTGTCTCTCTGTCTCTCTGTCTCTCTCTCTCTCCCTCCTGTAGATGTGTATTAGGATCAATAACATTCATTTAATAATTAAAACATTTTCGTCTTTGGAGTCTCACATTTATACACTAATGGTATCTCCTTCAAACCACGCCCCCTTTGGCCATAACCTCTCTAGTGAACCTAGTGGCTCTGGTACATTAAACATTAATAACTACATGTATATTATTATTATTATTATTTATTTATTTATTTATTAATTTTATTGCTAGTTGGTAGTTTGGATGTTCAGGGAGGGAACAAGCCACAGATGAAGACAAGTCGTCCATTCCCTCATCGTTATCGACCAGAGCCTAAGAGAGGAGGAAATATTGAACTACTGCCACAGGACAACGGTAAGTTAATATCATATACAGTTACAATATTTACTTTCTTTCCCCCCCTCTCTCTCTCTCCCTTCCCCTCTCTCTCTCTCCCTTCCCCTCTCTCTCTCCCTTCCCCTCTCTCTCTCCCTTCCCCTCTCTCTCTCCCCCCCTCTCTCTCCCATCTCCCCCTCTTTCTCTCTCCCTCCCCCCTCTCTCTCTTTCTCCTCCAGGCTCTGATAACACTTCTGGTTCAATTGGCCTTACTCCTGTAATGCAAAGAAGGTCTGAGACTGGTTTCAATTCAACCGAGGCCCAACAGTTGATTGAATATTTAGAGAAGGCACTGAAACACCAGCTCCAAATGATGTGTCTCAGAGTAAATTAACCTAACCACAGGATGCCCTACACTCATCTTCACTCTTTCTTCCTCCTTCTATTCCTACTCTATTTCCTTCTTTTTTCTTTCTTCAGATGAACAAGTTTTTCAAGCCTGCCCTCACCCTTCTCCTTGACCTAAAGCTAGGTGACTGCCCCATTAATAGGAGATTAAATTCACTAGTCGAGTTTCTAACGAGACACATGAGGGCTCTTTCTAAGCACCTTTATCCTAAATGCTACAGTTCACTCATTGACCTACTCTGGCAGACTATCCTCCAGGTTAATGACAGCAATACACCTACATGCATGTACATTTTATACATTGTACATGTACATGTATTGAAAAATGAATATTGTACCTGTATTGTAATGTTTACTTTGTTTTTAGTGTTTTCGTTAGCAATTTTAGGCTCAATATCTCATGCATGTTATTAGATAGAGCACTATAGCATCTTAAAAGCTATAATTCGGTTTTTGACTTTAAAAATTCATAAAAAATTCAATTGTGATCGGAATCAGCTAAAACTTGATGTATAACATAAGGACATGTATGTGTATCAGGAAAAATTATTAAAATGAAGAATTTTTTTCTAGCCATTTTTGGCAAAATTTAGCCAAAATCCCTGTACTATAGTACAGGGATTTTGACCCGATTTTTGAGCAACTTTAAAAATTCATAAAAAATCCAATTTTGATCGGAATCAGCTCAAACTTAAAATACAACATAAGAACATGTATATGCATCAGAAAATGTAATAAAAATTAAGAATTTTCTCCTAGTCATTTTTGGCAAAATTTGGCCAACGACACTGTACTATAGTACAGGGACTTTGGCCTGATTTTTGAGCAACTTTAAAAATTTGTAAAAAATCTAAATTTAATCGGAATTAGCTCAAACTTGCTACACAACATAAGAACATGTATATGCATCAGAAAATGTAATAAAAACTGAGAATTCTCTCCTAGTCATTTTTGGTGAAATTTGGCCAACGACACTGTACTATAGTACAGGGTCGTTGGAGCAGCTTGTACATGGAAGTCTTATAATACAGTATTTGTATTTTAGGATATTGAGGAGGAAGCATTGAAGTTAAGAAATGAGAGAACATCAATATATAGAGCACAACTTCTCCTCCAAACAGTTACTGTAAGAAAAGAAGACATTCTTACATGTGCACTATGTACATCTATTTTTCCCTCACCCTCCCCCCCCCCCTCTCTCTCTCTCTTAGCATCTTATCAAAGTGGTTCATGATAAAGGACAGGGTCTTTCTCTGGATACATTAACTACATCAACAGTCAGTGTTTCAGTATTATTAAACAACAGCTGGTACTCTCCCTCCTTTTATAGGAATATCTGCTAGCATTGATTGATGTCTATTTAAGACCTACCAGTCGACTTATTAAAACATTTGAAAGACTAACAGGACCAGTAAGAGCACAATGACACTCCATTAATTCTCCCTCTCTCTTTCCCTCTCTTTAGCAATTCACTCAGGCAGGAGCTCACATACAGCTGGACCAATCCCCAGTCCCTCTCTCTCCCTCTCTCCTCCATCAGCTCAGCACTCGTCTCCACAATATAAGGAAGTGTTTCAGAGGTGATGACTTTGTTCGTGAATTGATAAAACTGGGAAATGAAAGAATAAGACATGCTTCAGTTGATCATAGCAATCCTGACTCAGCCTCTAATGGTGCTCCGGTCTCTTTCACTGTCACTTCAGCGACACAACTTGGACAGTATTTGCTAGACGAAGGCATTTTAATATGTTTGCTTAATTACACCGAGGAGCGAACCACGCCCCTTGAGTCATCAAGCAACGAGAGAATGAATGCTATTAACACGTCGCGTCATGTTGGGGTGGAGCCCGAGCTTTCACATCAACGAACTAGTCCTGAGGTACGAGCTCCTTCAAACCAATCCTATGGATACTCATCACCTTCACCGACTCCGCCCCTTCCACACCCACCGCAATTCATGAATGGATTCGACTGTTGGTACAAGTTTACTGATTTGGAGGATTCATTTGAGGGGGTTTTCTTCCACGGGGGTCAAATTTTATCGACCTGCATCAGAACCCCTTCCTCTAATAACAAGAGGCGTGGTCCTGAAACTGCTGAGCTGTCACCTTTTGACGAGGCCAGACTAGGTACCTTACACTTGATTCTTGACGTCTTGCAGCAGAGATCCCGAAAAGACACTCAGGCTAAAACATTTTTATTAAAACCAAACGCGATACTTTGCTCTCAAGAAAGAGGAGGCAATGATGTTCCTCCACACAAAATATTTAGAATCTGATCGACTGTGACCACTCCCACTTATGGTGATGTGTTTGTGTTGTGGAAATAATTATAATTATGCTGTTAATGAATAATTATATTGAATGATTGTTACTCGTTATTATTTTTAATAATATTATTATGATACATTTTAAAATTAAAAAAAAGGAAGAGAGAGTCGTTCAGCAAAAAGAGCTAGTATATAAGTAACAATAATTATTAGTAGTTAATATCAGAGAAGAAGAGTGAAAAGAAAATGATTCAACATAACAAACTACCGTGAAGTGTGATCAGAGGGTGTGGTCTCTACAAACTCCGCCTCTTTTAGTCCTAGCCCATATTTAAACAGTTCATATACAGACCAGCACAAAGCAGTGGATGGCATTTGATACACTACTCTAGCGGACAACCCTCTGAAATACCCCTTGAATCCCTTCAGCTGGTATATCTTTAATAACGTGTTGAGCATCCCGTAAATCTTCTTGTCACTAGCCAGTATCTTCTTTTGTTCTCTGGTGTTTAGTAAAGTCCTAGCTACATCAAGAGGAGTAGTAAAGGCAGCTGCAATCGCTCCAGCACCTGCCCCTGATATCATGTGGGAGAGAGGGTCGTACGAACGCGTTGGGTTGAATTTCTCTTGTAAATACTCATAGCTAACGAAATGAAGAACTTGGAAAGGAATGTTCATGGTTAGCTGAGTGGTGTAGCTCCTATAAAAAGCGCCCGGTCCTTCCTGACGGAGTATTGTGGCCCCGCAATGAATGATGCCCTTATATGGCGCGTTGTACATCTGCAGCCTCTGCTTGATAACTATAATGGATGGAGGATGAGATGTACATGAAACAATGGATACATAAAGGACACAATGGATGAATGATGCATATGTACATTGTACACAAACAGATACAGTAAAGTAAAGATACAATGAATGTGTGCAATACCTTCAATGGGGTTCATGCAACCATCATGAAGTAGGGTTGCTACCACAGCAGCTCCGCCTATTAATAAAAGTTAATTAAAAGCTCTGATTACTTAAAACCACACCCACCTTGAGACATGATGTTATTGTGATGTCTAGAGAGCCACCTCTTGCTGTATTCGTATGTCGAGAAATACAAAGCATGAGCTGGGCCAGCGCCTGTAGCAACGACCGTTATACCACGGAAAAGGGCACTGGGGCGCTCCGTCTTTATAATAGTTTTAAAGGCTCCGTATAAATTATTATAATTAGCTTTTGGGTTAGGTACTAAAGTCATCATTCTAGTCTAGAGGGGGAGAAGGAGACAAAGAGAGAAATGTGAAGCAGTTAATTTTCAAATACTGTCTGCTTTGAAGCTAATTTCCATTAGTTTGAACGATCAAGTGCTAACCAATTACTGGAGCAACAAGGGCTGACAAGAGTATGATCAGAAATGAGGTTTAATTTTATTATCAAAATGTAATTAGATAATGAACATAATGTGTAATGTTGATACTACGCCAGTGATAACCATAAATCAATGTATCCTTATGATAGCATACTGTATGGTATAGTAAAACTGTAAGGGTGCCTATAGTATACATCATTACTAATGAAATGAATGTCAACATTGTCAGCCACAAGAACATGCTTATCTCTCTCTCTCTCTCTCTCTCTCTCTCTCTCTCTCTCTCTCTCTCTCTCTCTCTCTCTCTCTCTCTCTCTCCTCTCCCCCCCTCTCTCTCTCTCTTGCTTACCTTAACACAGTCAACTGGATACATCACACAGTGTTCAGTCACTCCAGCTGCTCCTCCTGCTAAAAGATGCGCCCACAACTTATCAGTAGGTAAACTCTCATAGTCTACCTCTCCCATACTACAAAATGAGAGGAACACAGAAGCATATGAATAATAATAATGAAATACATTTATATAAATAGTGTATAATAATAATTGTATAATAGTTATAATATAAATAATTAGAAGGGCACTACCTCTCAGTGTTATTAGATGCTTGGTGTCTCTCCCTCTTGGCAGGAGTTGAAGATGACGATATGCTATCAATATGAGGTGAAGTCTGATCAGTTACTGATTGCTCAACTGAAGCAGGATATTCCATAGCATAAAATAAACTGAGAGAGAGACGGAAAAGGGAGGGAGATTGGACTAAAGGGGAGAGAGAGATGGTAAATACACAGACTATCTTCTTCTCTACGATACGATACGATACTAGTGTAAATATAACGGGCATGCAGACACATGCATGAAGGGCCAATGATAGTTCCAATTAACGCTCACCTCTTTTCTAGCTTCTTTCAGAAGGCTACTGCTTTAGTAAGCAAAAGGAAAGAATCCTTTAGTGCTGCTTGTGTCTGCAATATCCTCTCTGGTCTACTGAAATGAAGAAAAAGAGAGAAAAGGCTTTAAGTTATGTAAGCACATTAGGGCATGACTGAAGGTGGTGGGTGTGGCTCAGTTATGGGCGTGGTTTGTTTAATTGACTATGAATAATTAATGATGCATTTGTGGGCGGGTTTTATGATAAAAATGGCTGCCGTCCACGTTTCTTTTCTCTGAGCTGTCTTCTCTCTTCTTTTGTCTCTTTTCTTCTTTTTAAAGTTATTAGTGTAGCCTTCTAGTAAGTATGGACGAGACAGATGGAGGTAGGGCATGGAAACTGTTCTACTTTGAAATATTTTAAACTTTTTTTTCAAAATTCTCAGGAGCCTATTATGATGATGAAGATGACGAGATATCTCCTGATCTATGGCAGGAAGCTTGTTGGATTGTCATCAGGTGAAATATTAATTTATCCATTGCATACATACATATACATCTATGATGTATCTGCATGTACAGTGTACATGTAAAATGATTGTTGGGTTTAACGATTTCGGTTTTTTTTAGTTCTTATTTTGATGAGAAGGGGCTGGTGAGGCAGCAGTTGGACTCGTTTGACGAGTTCATTCAAATGTCTGTCCAAAGGATTGTTGAAGACACGCCTCCTCTTGAACTCCAGGCCGAAGCTCAATATGATGACAGCGACACACCTGTAAGAATTAATAATTATAGATTTCATGTTATACATGCTTTCATTACTTTTAATTTTATTTTTAGCCGAAATACTCCTTGAAGTTTGAGCAGATTTACCTTTCCAAGCCCACCCACTGGGAAAAAGACGGCAAAGCAGTTTACCTCATGCCGAACGAAGCAAGACTAAGAAACTTAACGTAAGCACACACCCACTTTATAATTAGCCACACTCACTTTATTAGGTACTCCGCCCCACTTTATGTTGACGTCAAGAAGACTATCATATATGAAGATGAAGATTCTAAGGAGGATCCTCACCCGAAAACCTTCATTGGGAAGATACCAATAATGCTTCGTTCAACTTACTGCCTCTTGAGTCAGCTGACTGATCGAGACTTGAACGAACTGAATGAGTGCCCCCTTGACCCCGGGGGGTATTTTATAATAAATGGGTCCGAGAAAGTCTTAATCGCTCAAGAGAAGATGGCTACCAATACGGTGCACGTATTCTCAAAAAAAGAATCCAAATACGCCCACACAGCTGAGATAAGGTCCTATATAGAGAACTCTAGTCGTCCTGTTAGTACCCTATGGGTCAGTCAGCTCTCCAGGGGAGGGACGGGCGTTAAAAAGAGTGCTATCGGTCAGAAGATTGTAGCCACGCTCCCTTACATCAAGCAGGAGATACCCATCATGATAGTGTTTCGTGCTCTGGGGTTTGTGTCCGATAGAGATATCCTGGAGCATATTATTTATGACTTTACTGACATTGAAATGATGGAGATGGTGAGAAATAGATTATTAGTATATAAATTAATGTCATACTGTTTCTATTGTACCAGCTCAAGCCTTCATTGGATGAAGCTTTTGTCATTCAGGAGCAAAACGTAGCATTAAACTTTATAGGAGTGAGGGGAGCTAAGCCTGGTGTCACTAGGGAAAAACGTATTAAATATGCTAAAGACATACTCCAGAAAGAGCTCCTCCCTCATGTGGGCGTGTCTAGTTTCTGTGAGACTCGGAAAGCGTATTTTCTTGGGTACATGGTCCATCGACTGCTCCAGGCAGCACTGGGTAGGAGGGAACTGGACGATAGGGATCACTATGGAAACAAGAGACTGGATCTTGCTGGGCCTTTGCTGGCCTTCCTCTTTAGAGGGTAAGAGAGAGAGAGAGTGAGGAGGAAGATGGAGCAATATTATAAATGAATAGTACATATGTATATGTATGTGTTTTATTTATATAAACATGTACTGTAGGTAGAGTAGTGTTTACAGTTTACATTATACATACATGTATATGTGGTATATTTTGTTTATTGGCAGGTTGTTTCGTAACCTAACAAAGGAAGTTAGACTCTATGCCCAAAAGTTTATTGACAAAGGACGGGTAAGTAATAAACAATAAATAAAGAAACAAAAAATATTTATTATTACCTTTTTTCAGGATTTTAATTTAGAGTTGGCAATTAAGACAAAGACTATTACCGACGGTCTCCGTTATTCTCTAGCCACTGGTAACTGGGGCGATCAGAAGAAAGCCCATCAAACAAGAGCTGGAGTATCACAAGTGCTGAACAGGCTGACCTTTGCCTCCACTTTGTCTCACCTGAGACGTCTCAACTCTCCAATCGGTCGCGACGGGAAACTGGCTCGTCCTCGTCAGCTCCACAACACTCACTGGGGGATGATATGTCCTGCAGAGACACCCGAGGTTAGTGGGCGGGGCTAATAGGTTGTTTCTAATTAAAGTGCACCTCGTAGGGACATGCTGTTGGTCTGGTAAAGAACTTGGCCCTCATGGGGTACATCAGCGTAGGGTCTCAACCAGCTCCAATATTAGAGTTCTTGGAGGAATGGTCTATGGAGAACCTTGAGGAGATCACACCATCTGTCATTGCAAAGTAAAGGCCGGGAGTCTGATTAGTATTTAACTGTCCTGTTAACTTGTGGTCAGCTTTGGCTTAAACTTTCTATGGGGATTAGTGCAATTTATATGTACATGTACATGTGTATCATCAGCTGGGAAAATAGGATTTTATTACTTGCTGTATTTTATAGCTCAACAAAGATATTTGTCAATGGGAATTGGGTTGGCATTCACAGAGAGCCTGAGCACCTCATGACCACACTGAGAAGACTGAGAAGACAAATGGACATTATTGTATCAGAGGTACTACAGAGAGAAGACATTATGTACATGAACTTGTATACATGTGTGTTAGGTGTCTATGGTACGGGATATTAGGGAGAGAGAAATAAGAATATTCACTGATGCCGGTAGGATATGTCGTCCGCTTCTCATCGTTGAGAATCAGAAACTGCTCCTCAAGAAGCATCACATTCAGATGCTCAAGGAGAGAGAGTACAATAACGCTAGGTGGGCGTGTCCTAGTGGGTGTGGTTAATTAATTATTTTATTAGTTGGCAGGATTTGGTAGCTGGGGGTGTGGTCGAATATATCGACTGTCTTGAGGAGGAGACTGTCATGATTGCAATGACTCCTGACGACCTCTCAACTGAAGGAGGAGCCTCTTATTGTTCCACTTATACTCACTGTGAGATACACCCAGCCATGATACTAGGTAGGGGAGAGAGAAAGAGAGAGAGAGGAGAACTTTAATTGTTACATGTAATATGTGTCTCTACTGCAGTAAATGTATTCCCGTACATGTTCTTGTTGTATCTTCTCTCTCTCTCAATTAGGTGTGTGTGCTAGTATTATCCCATTCCCTGATCACAATCAGTCTCCTCGTAATACCTACCAGTCTGCTATGGGTAAACAGGCCATGGGCGTGTACATCACCAACTACCACGTGCGTATGGATACCCTCGCCCACGTACTTTATTACCCACAAAAACCTCTTGTAACGACCCGTTCCATGGAATACCTTAGATTCAGAGAACTGCCAGCAGGTAACCATAAGCAGAATGACCGTTGACCTTTATGACCTTTGACCTTTCCATAGGTATTAATGCTATAGTGGCAATAGCCTCATATACTGGATACAACCAGGAGGACTCTGTCATTATGAACGCTTCTGCTATTGACAGAGGATTGTTCAGGTATGTTCTAATTATCGAGACGTCTCTATTTATAAGGTCCGGAAATTATTTCTTTCTCTTACCCAGGTCTGTTTTCTATCGCTCATATAAAGATGAAGAATCAAAGAGAGGATTTGATCAGGAAGAGGTTTTTGAAAAACCTACAAGAGATACTTGTGCAGGTGAGCTAAACTCTAATTAAAACCCATTTTCTAATTAATGCCCACTCCAGGTATGCGTAATGCAGCATATGACAAGTTAGATGAGGATGGTATAATAGCCCCTGGTCTTAGGGTCAGTGGGAATGATGCTATTATTGGTAAGACTATATCCCTCCCTGAAAACGATGACGAGGTGAGCCCCTCCAATTAGACTAGTTAATTAATGTAAGTCCTAGCTTGAGGGAGCTCCTAAGAGGTATCAGAAACGAGACGCTAGCACTTTCCTGAGAGCCTCAGAAACCGGAATTATTGACCAAGTGAGATGGTGTACCTTTACGTAGCCATTTTATAACATGTATATGTATATCCCTCAGGTAATGCTCTCGTTGAATCAAGATGGTTACAAGTTCTGTAAGATAAGGGTACGCTCAGTTAGGGTCCCTCAAATCGGTGACAAGTTTGCTAGTCGTCACGGACAAAAGGGAACGTGTGGAATCACTTACAGACAAGAGGTACCTCACCCACCCTCTCTTAATGGCCGACCCTCATCCTCTCTTAATGGCCGACCTCCCATACCTCTATGAACACTGTATAGTACTGGTATTCTGATGTTGGCCTATATTAACAGTGTAGCTTAGTCTGTCCTCACTGATCATGTGACATGTCATGTGACATGAAGTGCTGGGATTATAACAGCTACTGACATTAATAGTTTCTATGCATGAGTATTGTATCCATGTACAAATGTAGCTGGAGACGTTAATTTTTTGCATTTTTTGATGCATATATGTGTCCTTGTATTGCATATGACTTTTGAGCTGAAGTAAATTTCCCCATAAGACACATCCAATGTACATGTACATGACTACATGTACATGTGGGTTAAGTTGTATTCTAAATCTCTAATCACAATGGGTATACATCTACATGTTCAATGGTATTGCGAATTCATGTGTACATCTCTTTAGGACATGCCGTTCACGTGTGAGGGTTTATCTCCTGATGTCATCATTAATCCTCATGCCATTCCTTCTCGTATGACAATCGGTCATTTGATCGAGTGTCTTCAGGGAAAGGTAAGTTGTATCATGTGATGGTCACATGACTCTCACATGACTTGTAGGTATCTGCTAATAAAGGTGAGATTGGTGACGCCACTCCATTTAACGACGCAGTGAACGTTCAAAAGATATCAGAGCTCCTTAATGAGTACAATTATCATTTAAGAGGAAACGAGGTACATCAAATTTTTGTCTTTAAAAATTTTGGCTTTCATTAAAATTTTTATGGCCTTCCATGTCAATTTTTGTTAGGTACTTTACAATGGTCACACAGGTCGTAAACTGAATACTCAAGTCTTCCTTGGTCCTACGTATTACCAGAGACTCAAGCACATGGTGGATGATAAAATCCACTCGAGAGCACGAGGACCCGTGCAAATATTAACAAGACAACCTATGGAGGGACGATCAAGGTAAGAGATGAGAGATTAATAATAATAATGATAATAATAATATGAGAGATTAATATAATAATAAATTAATAATATTTCTTCTCTTTTAGGGACGGTGGTCTTAGGTTTGGTGAAATGGAACGGGATTGTCAAATAGCTCACGGAGCTGCTCAGTTCCTCCACGAAAGGCTCTACACTGTCTCTGATGCGTACAAGATCCACCTCTGCAATCTCTGTGGTCTCATCGCCATTGCCAACCTTCAGACCAACTCCTTTGAGTGTAGAGGCTGCAAGAACAAGACCCAGATATCACAGATTGAGATACCCTACGCTTGCAAGCTTCTCTTCCAAGAGCTCATGTCAATGTCTATTGCCCCAAGGATTATGACTGCCTCTTCTTAGGATGGAAGGGGATTATATTTGCAATTTTTCATTCGTTTTTCTTCAATAACATTTTCCACCACACCACTACTACAGTGCAACAATTATGTGCAGCACATAAAGCATGAATTCTCTCTTCTTTTCTCTTGAGCAGTATAGCTCCACTTACTTTTACTGCTACTAATCTTTGTCATACTTTACACTTTATAAATTAATGTCAGAATAATACCACTGAGTTACTTTCAACTGTCTACATATTTTGGCAATTGTATTTAGTAGAAGAAGCAGTGACAGAGGGAGGGAGAGCCAAGCATAGACCATTGAGGTTAAATTAAGGCAAAGCAGATGACATAGTGATTGTGGTCATTATTATATAAGTACAGACTCAACTACTAAAATGATAGAGATTGAGTCACTCAATCTCTATCATTTTAGTAGTTGCTGCAAGTTGTGAAATGTGGCATAACTTGGATTGTTCATTTATGGTATGTTGATACTTGTTTACCCATTAGAACATGCTGCAGTTTGTATGGATATTCATGATACTGATGAGACAATACAGTAGCTATGTAGACTGAAGCAATAAGCCACACATGATGCAGTACAGCTAGACAGTTGAAGCATGTTCAGCCATTATTAGTCTTTATTAGCAGTTGCTTTTGAGCTGAATTGGCAGTCATGATAAGGCTACAAGTGCTAGTCAATAATACTGGTGGCTAAATAAACAATATCAAAGGAAATAATAATTTTATAACAACAGTAATCATATCTTTAATATTCTTTCCCAGCAAGAGTACATAAAAGTTTATTGTGGCTATACAAGGAATGAGCTCATCATTTTCCCAATCAATGAGTTTAATTTGCTTAGCAACCCAGTGCAGGTTTGCTGTTGTGTGATTTTGATAAGATAATATCTTTTCTTTAAGTAAACAATTTGTGAAGTTTTTTTTGAGATTAAAAGTGATAAGAGAGAGAGAGAGGAGGAATAAATACAAAACTAAAAGTATAATCCAATACATCAACAAGAAATTAAAAAAAAGAAAAAGAGGAAAGAAAATATATAATTATAATTTTTACATGATATTTTATGGTGTATAGCAATAAATGTATAACAAGAATAAATAATAGTAATAATATTATTAAAAATTGCTCTTCGTTACATGATAGTGTATGCATATATATGTATGTATGTGAATGGACTTAGTATGTATGTGTGTCATTGTGTCACTGTATGGATGCAATGTATGTATTGTTAGGTGTTTGTCTCAGAGTGTGTGATAATTAATATGTTCATGATTCTCTCTCTCACTAGCTTCCTTTCAAGACTAGATGTATGGTACATTCGTTTGCTATGCCGGGAACATTCTCAACAAGACGTTGACTCTCCTCCAACTGCTGGTTATCTAATACCAGTCGCATCATCTCTGGCCTGATACCACATTCCTCCTCTATTAGCAACTTGAGACCCATTATACTGACCTCCTGGAGAGGGAAAGAGAGAGGGGAAAAGAGATAGAAAGGAGATTTTATAAATACATCTTTATAATGTCTTGTTACCTGTGGATTTGAGAATTTGATATCAAACGTTCTACCGGTTAGTGTTTTGACATACAGTACCCAGTCTCTGCAGATCTCTCCTCTCTTCTCCACTCTCTCCATAAACAAGTTGACAATCTTTGTTGAATGCTCAGACGAATCATCCTTCAGTATGTCTTCAAATATTTCCCCAAGTGGTCTTGTGTCATCAACAATATCTTTTCTTTTGTGTCGGAGTGTTACTTGTCTTCCCTCCATATTCGGTATCCGTCCTAGTAACTGTTCCACAGTATACTATGGGAAAGAAAGAAACAGACATACA